TTTCGCATAGCCTAGATTATTTGACTTTCATGCGAAAATGATTTAAGCTTACCAGTTAAATGGTCATTAAATTACATTCAGTTGCAACGTCAAGAAACTAATCAATTTCATTCATATTCCATTAATTGAAATCAAAATTGTTCCAGGAATATTTTCTTGTTTATTTATCTAAGCTAACATAACAGCGACGTATGAAATCAATAGAATATTTCTCAATTGGAAAACGTTCCTTTTTTGTGATAACCAAATAGTCAAAATATTGTGTAATTTACTTTAGGCAAACACATTTTTGTATGTTTTAGCTAAGCTTTGTGTGGAATTTACAAACACACTCAATTTCTATTAACAGTCAAATTAGTCTCTGCCTATGGCAATCGAATTTCATGGAATTCGGTCAAGCTTAAAAGCTAACTTTAAATGGTAGTTTATGTAGCAATGAAAATGATTCACCACTTGCAACTAAAGTATGCATAGAAAATAGAATGTTGCTCAATTAATATTATAATTCTTGCCAAGATTAGTATGAAATTGTCTGCATGAAAGTTTTTTTGTCTAAAAATCTTTCTCTAATAGTAGTTTCTATAGCAATGAAAATGATTCACCACTTTCAACTAAAGAAATCATAGAAAATAGAATGTTGCTCAATAAATATTTTAATTGATGCCAAGATTAGTACGAAATTGTCTGCATGAAAGCTTTGCTGTCTAAAAATCTTTCTATAAATGGTAGATTATATAGCAATGAAAATGATTCACCACTTGCAACTAAAGTAAGCATAGAAAATAGAATGTTGCTCAATAAATATTTTAATTGATGCCAAGATTAGTACGAAATTTTCTGCATGAAAGTTTTGTTGTCTAAAAATCTTTCTATAAATGGTAGATTATATAGCAATGAAAATGATTCACCACTTGCAACTAAAGTAAGCATAGAAAATAGAATGTTGCTCAATAAATATTTTTATTCATGCCAAGATTAGTATGAAATTGTCTGCATGAAAACTTTGTTGTCGAAAAATCTGAATTAAATACACCATGTGTGTTTTCGATAAAAACGAGTCGCAGTGCTTTATGTGAAAGGTGCCTCATTTACTTGCACGAATCTGTGTGGCTTCCCCTCGAAAGGATTTATGTCAACGTATAGTATACGGTATATGCCAAGGATGTTATTTTTTCCCCGAGATGCCATTAAATTGTGCGTGGATGGCAGGTCCTGTGGGCGGAATGAGAAATGGTGCGTCATTTCTCAGGACTGACAACATGGACGTTAACGCTTTAATGCCTGTCAGTCGCATACATAGCTCCTTAATCGCTTAAGCGGTTGACGCCAGAGGCAAATTCCCCGGCAACCCTTTGGGCCGACATGAAATGTGGGCCAAAAGAATTAGCCCGATTGCCAAAATGACTTCCATTCTTGTTTATTACCAAACGGTCTGCATTTTTTGGCTTAAAGCGAGCTTCCGTCTCGTGGGTCCTCCTTGTATCCTTGTATCCTCGTATCCATGGCATCCTCCATCCACCATTCTGTCCCGAAATGCTTTGCATTTTTCTCCCATTTTTCCTTTCTTCTCTGCTTAGTTTTTCTTGCTTTATTTTTTTGCTTGCCGGCTAGTTGCTAGTTTATTTGGCCATTTTTGGTGGGCGTACAATAATGTAATACAATGCGGATCAGCACGCTTGACTTGCTCAACTTCTGCTGTGTGTTTTTGACACTTTGTTGCTATGGCTTTTCCGCTTTTTTCCCCCAGCCTCCAGCTTTTGGGGTCCTGGTTTGTTAATCCGCTTTGATGCCCATCTGTGAAATACACACATATATATATATATATATATGTACGTTTGGCCTGGCCCGATGACCTCCTGTCATCCACTGCTGAACGGATATACTACCGACATCAGTCAGTCAGCTGGGTGGCCGAAAGTTTTGTTTTTTGTGCGTGCCACATCAGTGATTGCCGATTGGGATTGTATCAAGCATGGGGCATAAAAACGATTGATATCAATATCGGGAAATGGCGAATAACACGTGACCTGTGATGTCCTGTCATTAGGTCCTTCTTAGTTGCTGACGACCATGCAGTGTTTTATGGCCATCGCTTTTTGCTGTTTCGAGCATCTTGTAATTGAGGCTGTGCAATAAAATTCCTGGCCACTTGCAATTTAATGACGTTTGACCTCCGTGTGAATTTTCCCCTTATAAATTATATTCGCTTTTATTTTGCCCAGCATTTATTTAACTTTAATGTTATATAGTACTTATTCTTCTTTCCGTCTGCGAAGTTATATCCTTGATGGGTTCAACTTTTTAGCTGATGCTGGCAAAGAGTTGAGAACTCCGCGGGTGGAGCTCCGACATCCCTTTGAACCGAGGAAAGGACCATTAAATCTAAGCATTTAATTCGGCATTATAGCCCTGGGCGTAGAACAAGCTTTATATGCAATTGTTGCCAAATACCACCGACGTTGTAAAAATCGTATTTTATTGTGGCAATTGAATGGCGAATGGGCGTGGAATTGAGTAATGAAAGCAATGCGGGCACCGCTTCAAATAAAATACCCAACGAGCGGGTTCCGCAGTGGCAATCACAACTGGGTCCCCAATGTCGGTGGCACTGTCAACAATTATTATTCTGATACGTTTTTTACTGCACCCAACGCTTCCCTTTTCTGGCTGGCCTTTCAGCAATGGCTTGCTAAATGCTTCTTTTTCGGGAGCTCGGCAGCACCCAACCCCAAAAAATGGCCAATTAATCAGAGATGGGGTCATAAATCAGGCAAATTTTGTTGGCAAATGGCTCTAACTTGGCTACATGGAGCAAATCATTAGGTGTTTCATATTTAACTATATACTTGAGAAGGCAAAACAATAAGCATCAAGAATAATATAACAAATATACACTTTAATATAACGAAATTCTTGTTTACAAAAATCACAGACAGCTCTGTTTATTTTCAAAAATATTAAATACTAGGTTTGAAAATTTGATTAGAAATTTGAACATTAAATATTGCATTTTTATTTTGTTTCAAACTTCTTGATACAAGATAAATAATATATTTGCTGTTAAATTATAGCCGTTTTAATAAATTCTATTGTTCATGAAAAAAGTAGTTTTAAAATATAAAAAAAGAAATAAACTTAAAATCTTTTTGAGATTTTTTATATATTACAAAATTTATTTCAGTTTTTCTCCCAGTTTAATTACTCGAAAACTTTTCTGACTGTGAAGCACCCAGAGGGACAGGACTTTTTTGCTATCTGTCGAAGGCCAGCTGACGGCTGGGAAACTTTAACTATGCAGCTTTTGCGCTTTTCACTGGACGAATACTAGGGGTGAAGGGTCAACGGGTTGGCCATTGTGTCTCATGCTGATAAGCCGGTCCAGAAGTTTCGCTGCACCTGTCCAGGATGCCTGTCAACTGTCATCTGAAATCTGTTTGCCTGGGACTTGGGATTTGGATTGGAACATGGACAGGGTACGGGAACGGGACCGGGTTCATTGAATTAAAATCTTAATTGCTGCAATAAATTCGTGCAAATTCTGCGCTGCTCAGCTGAGCAAAGTTCCCACAATTTGTGTAAAAATGTCGTAATTGGCGTAATTAGCCAGCGTTTTGCAATCTCTTTCTCGCAGTTTATCTCGGTCTCTTTCCGTGCCACTGTTTGAGTTTCCTATTATGCTATTGGGCGTTTTGTTATTCTAATTGTCCGTCTTTGTTTGCCTTTCGCACTTGTCGCTCTCAACTTGACCTATAAAAGGCACATGCAGGCTCAGCTGTCATGGAAAACTGTGACAAATTGTTGACGGTATACTTTTATACTTCTTTGTCATTTCCGTTTCCGCATTCGTTTTGCTTTCCCTTTACCCTTTCTCCATTTCCATTTTCCCATGGTGGCAGGTGTGCAAAGGGTTTCCCATGAAACATTCATCCACCTGGCAACCACATCAGCCGACTAATCATGATTAATTTGCATCAATTTGAATTTGGGCTATTTTTAGTCGAGCGGCATTCGCCTTAATCGTTTCGAGTAGAGGTCTTTTATTACCTCACGGGAATTCCAGCGCTTCTTTTTCATATATCGTCAGCAAAATGTGACACTTAAATGGACGAAATTTGATATATGACATGGAGCCAGCAAATTCAATCGCGATTTTTGTATTGATGAACTTTGAAATCACTAAATAACGAACACTAATGGCATATCATCATAGAAGGGTTGCTTGAACATCAAATTTGACAGTCAAACACTTCATTTTCAACGTTTAAATTTAATATTGTAGTACAATATTTTGTTCGTTTTGTTATTCTAAACTATCTTATTTATTTTCCCGGCCTAATCAAAATTCCATCTAATTGACTTCAAATTGATTTGTAAACAACTTTATATTACGTGTATAATTACCGCAAAATGCAAATATTATTTGCGGCTTATTTAAATTCTGAACTGACAGTGATTTCAATGCATACTGACTTATTCAAAATTAAATTCAGTGGCCTTTTTATATTTCATTATGGAAATAATTTAATTGTGGCCCATTCTAAATTTTTACTGCACCAAATTGTGTTGTTTGTCTGCGTTTCTAAGCGAATACCTCTGGGTCGGGATATTCAAACATCGATGTTTTCTTAAATGGCCATCCAAAGGGTTGTGGGATTCTCAGCATCTGGTCAAGGCAGACGAACGAACTTCAGACAACTTGGGAAACACGCTTACTATTGTGTTTTCTTTGTCTGCGTTAACAAGAAAATGTTTTCGTTTCAGTGTCCTCAAGAATGAAAAAAAAGGGACACGCCAATTGGGATTACAAAACTATGTCTAATTGTGTATGCATGGGTCGGCAGCCGACACACAAAAGTCCTAATGCATAATCGAGTGTGTTTTCATTACGAGAAAACCTTTTTCTTTTTGGCCAACTCACTGATTCAGCGATTTTGGATCTTTTTGATGGGATTTCACTTCAGCTTGATTTATGGGACTCTTTTTTTTTCTCCCCTTTGCAGATAACTTTAAGCGCTGGGAGAGTGCCACTTTAACCGCCAGTAACGGATGTCCTGATTTCGAAGCTTTGCCCAAATACCGACGAAGGGATACCTACATACACAATTAGCCACAGTGGATGGGTCGACGGAGTACGCTTGGAAAAGTTTTGTCCCGCACACGGAAACCGCATAAGCTTTCCTAGGCGAAATCTTCCCGGGGCGAGGACCCCAAAAAACAACCGGCAAACAAACACAGGCCCAGATGTCGGACACAATCTCCTTCGAGTTGGGCTCGGCCGCCGACCGGCCACCCAACAGGTTCCAAGTAAACCCGGTCAACGGCAACAGTCGCAAGTCACAGGGTTCAGATGGCCCTGGTTCAGGATCGGGAGCAGGAGCAGGAGGAGGAGGAGGAGGACTTGGAGAGGATGGGCCGCACGAGGTCTACCGGCGCCTTACAAACGCCGAGGGCGAACTTCTCGAGGACGACACATTCGATGCGACACAAATGCTCAACCAACACCAGCCCAGGACACAGAGGTGAGTAGCTGGGGTCAGGGGTCAAACGCTGGGGGAGCCTTACACACAAAAAAAGCAAAGTGCTGAAATTGAAACATATTTAAATTTGTGTTCTCTATCTTTAATTAATAATAGTTCTCAAATCAAAATTACAATATTTAAAGAGTTAAGGCAATTCAAAATAATTTAAATACTTTATTTTTATCAAATATTAAAATATTTTTTTTTATTCTGTAAGCTTTATTTTTGAGAAACATTTTTTTTTAAAGGTAGTAACTATCGATTTATTTGTATGCTCATTCGTATTGTAAAGCTATTAAACTTAAATGAATAAGAATTCACACTTTTTTGGGTCTCACGACTGTTTGGTACGAATTTTTGGCAATCCAGTTGTACATTTTTAATATTATATTTATTAAATTGCCGTTAAACACTATCCTACATTTTTAAAAGTCTGCAAATGTGACTTTAAGTCACACCACTAACTATGTTTTAGGTGTCTCCCCTTTTCTCTGAGTGCAGCCAGGGTTTAAAACGGGTGCGGTTTTTGGGTCTCGTGCTAGCCGACCTTTTCCTTTGTCTATTGTGGCGGAGAATGGAAATTTTTTGAATATTTCATTTTCTGGTAATTGTTTAGTGTTTCATCAAACAAGGATTGCTTTTGTCGTCTCCTGTATTTTGTCCTCGCTTAATTATGGCGTTAACATTCCATCCGGGAACAAAGGATGCCGTGCCAAAGAAAACACGGAATCCCTGAAAGGATGTCTGAAGAATTATCGCTCCGGCAGGATGGGCCCTCGAATGAATTACCGAGTTAGCAGGGCTCTACTTGAATATCATTTAGGCAGAAACTGGGCGAAAATGCAGATGAGATTGATATGAGGCAGCCGGGGAAAATTGGTTGTAAAGTTAGAGTGCCAACATGCCAGCCGCTCAACGAGATGCCAGTTAATCATTCACGCCACATTTGGTGCAATTGTAATTTTCAGTCCATCAGCTTGTAGTGCAATCATTCAAAATTGATTAAACTCCGTGGAATTCCAGGGCCCATGAACAAGTCAACAATCGGACCATTCGCATCTATCAAATGGCCAAGGTTGGCCGACCTGCGGCAGGTTCAACACTCGCCTGTTAAAAGTTCAACACTCGCGTGCAAAAATCGAACAATGCCATTCAATCACAGACCCGAAGTAATAACCATCATTTACGCTTGTGGTCCCAATTGGCAGTGGACAGACATTTGCATAGTTCTGAAAATCGACATGGACAAGCCATTCATTTTGCCAACTATGAAATGTTCATTTCGATATGTCGCCATTACATTATGGCCTTGTCTGGCAGAGAACCGCCCAAGTTATGATAATGAGGCTTATGAAAATATTATAGCCCTGTTTATTGGCCCAACAAAGAAGCCAACATCCTGTGCCAGGAGACTGCGAAGTCAGGGCAACGGAATTTCGATTACGAGGAAAGCGGTTACATATAAAAACTCCGTTTAATCGGCTCAATTTGGCAGCCATTCAGCAGCGAGTTCCTGCATAAATTAATGATAAGCTTACTTAAGGGTCTTCTTCAGTTTTAAGCGACTTCGCCTTCGCCTTTGCCTCTCCAGATTGATAATTAATTCCTGCATTTTCTCTCAGCTTTCCCCACCGTTGCCTCACAAATTGAATCAATCTCATTGACATACAATCGACTGGATCAACATTATGAGTGCGATTCACGTTCGCGGCTGCCAGGCAATCCGAAAAGCCGAGCAGACAAGTCAGCCATAAATTGCTCCAATAACAACAGAGCATATATCATATAAATATCTAGGGGCCATTGAGCAAAGTCGTTTGGTGAAATGAAATGAGCACCCACGGTTTCTTAGTCGACTGCAGGATACTTTCTCACTAAGCAGTTCGGTATACCTTTTTATTCAGGAGGTTTATTCCACAAACATAGGTTTATACTAGGCTAATAAAACGCAGCTAAATTGCAATAAGTAATTTGTAAATATACTTAATTGGCAGTCCATTAATTTTTTTTTGATTCAATAGTTTAATACTTCACAATTTGTACAATTCCAATAACACAACTGTTTTTTCTTAATATACATAATTGAAATATAAGTGATTAAGTGATTTAATGTTGGCCATTATATTATTACTCATACGCAGTGTTGCCTTTTAGTTTGCATTGTATTTGCAGGCATACATAAAAACTATATTTTACAACCTATTTATTCTTTATAAATGTAGTTTAATTCCACTTTCCGTGGAAAATAATTTGCCTTAAGCAGCTAGCATGTATTATTAAAATGCATAAATATTAATTAAAAGTGGAAAGTAGAATTTAAAAAAATGAAAATAATGTTTATCAGGTATTGAATTCTACATGAATACATTGAAAATCCATAAATGACTTATATATACCAGAAATAAAAATGAAAAGCGTGCCTTCCCATTTGAACTTTATGAACATCGAACGATGAAATTATGTGTTTTTGAGCTCCTCTCGATTAGCGAGTGCAACCAGCAGGGTGTCAGGATGTCAGAGTGTCAGGATGTCAGGCGCTCGCTCATGCAAGACATTATCGACTGAAAACGGGGGGATGCGGGGTTGAACGGCCTTCTGGGCGCGTGGGCGTGTCCTGGGGCCGTCTACTCCATGGCAGACTGGCGGGAATCATCTGGGGCTTCCACACAATGGGTGGCAATCAGAAAGTGCAAGTTTGTGTTTGGGGGGCGAGAGCTAACTAAATCGAAATAAATTCAATTGAATTTCGTTGAACTAAATTGGCTGATAATGAAAGTTATTGGTTGTGGGTTTAAAATCGAATTCATGTTCACTGGGCGTGTGATCGGAGATAAATCCTTTTGTTCATCTGCCAATTAAAGTGGTACAAATGGGGAACGGAAAGGGAATGTGACATACAATTAATGTTCAACCTAATTGCCAGTCTTTGTGTTCTATCCCCAGGCAATCCATCAAAAGCAGTTTCCGAGACAAGGATAAACCGTCGAGGTTCAAGGACCTGCAGACGACAACCCGCTTCCAGGTGGACCCCCAAAATGAGGAGTCCGATGAGTCGAACGATTCGCAGGAGGAACGCGAGCTGCTAGACAACGAATACGACACAAAATATGGTAAAAGTTTCCGGTCAGTTTGCATTGCTCCCTCCCTATTTACACAGAGAAAAATTCAAAATAATCATTAAAAAAAATATCTTTGATTTCTATAAATATTATTTTACGAATATTTTTGGTAAAAACAATCTCAACTGGTACAAAAGTTTTCATTATTACTTGCAACATTTAAACATGATGTTGTAAGCTGTTAAATTATATTTTTGGTTTTTAATGGCACTTAAAAGAAGTATTGTAATTATTTATATCAAATTCTACATCATGAAAAAATAGTATCATTTAATATTTAAGTACTTAATTATAATTAAGTACTTTAAATACTTACACATTACTTTTTGCTTAATGATAATCACAAATCATTTTGATACGTGCCCAGATTAAATATTTTTCCTATAAATGCGTTTTTCTCCATTTTTATAATTGATGATAAATTTTAAATTACAAAAGTCAATATATTTTTCCCTGTGTATCCTCTGCTGCGCTGTCGAATCTGCCGAATTAAACTCCTACGATTTTCCGCAGGCACTTCACGCGGGAGGCGCTACCCCGTCTGGACAATTACCGCAACATGATGTCCATCCAGGCGGCCTACCGTCCAACGCTCGACGAGCTGCACAATGCCACGCTGACGGGCAAGGTGAGTGCTCCATCCCAGCAAATAATCGCCTGGGTCGTAAACACTGCACAGGACCCTCAAGGGTCACAAATTACAATTTCACGGGTCCCATTAAATGACATTCGCAAGCTTTACGCGGTCGCCGTCGCAGTAAATGTCGAATTTAAATTTACGCTCATACGCCCACACGAAATTAAAAAAAAATTCAATAACCTTAACCCATGAAGTGACCCGGACCCGAAACCCGGCAGTGTCAATCGCTCGGCGGCAAGTGTCACCCCGGCTCAGCCAGAAAGCCAGAAAGCCATTTGAATTTTCTTTTTTCTTGTAGGCACATGAGCGTGACTGCGAATGCCACCAGGAGTCAAATTGGTCTGGTCGTTGGCACTGCAGGCTAAGGGAAATCCCTTGAAAATTGCTTGTCAAATGCAAGTCTTGCGGCTGGGGTGCACACTTTGGCTAAATTTATTCCCAAAATAGGAGAACTTCGGCAGACTTAACCGATTAAATTTGACTATGAAGCTGTTAAATCTGACAAGTCCATTGACTTTTCATTTGACTTCTAAGCCCTGGTTGTGAATCATTTCGAAAAAGTTTTCTATTCGAAAGACACAATGCAGTGCCAGCAATTGGTCCTAATTGATTTCCACACTTTTCAGACTAATTGCCGATGTTTTTAGTTTCACAATTGGCTGAGCAAATGACTGTCAATAAGAGAGAGAAAATAAATTGTTTTTGGGGCTGCAACTGAAGGTTCATTGAGAAATTGATGCGTTGCACAATGACATTTCACAGACAGGCACACATGTATAATCCATGAGGCAATCTCTTTTTGTACACGTTAGCTTGGGACCAGATGACATGATGACCAATCCAAGACCAGCTACTAATTAAGTCCGAGTGTGCGAAAGTACTGGGGAAGGAGCTCTCTCAATGTCATTTGGACATCTTGTAATAATAAGCAATTAAGATGGGGTCTCGTTAAAAGTGCAAAGTTCACAAGTTCAATTGGCGCAACGGGTGTTTGCGGTTTCGGGGGCGTTTGATTAATCTATTAATAATGTTCACTGTGGGTGTGCGCCGGCTTGTCAAAATTCCTGGTAGCTGAAGTCATCCATTTCCAGGGCAGATCTTTATTCGCTTGACAAAGGAAATGCCCTTTTAAAATTCCATGAGACCCCCAGAACTTAAATTACCAAGGAAAATACAGATATTTACCCCACCTGCAGATTCAGGATGTGCGCCGAATCATTTATCAACACTAGACAGCTTTATTGAAAATTTCTCAAGAACCCTCCACCCTTTGTACTTCACGCCCACTCACACGAAGAGAAAAAGCTTGTTAAATATGCACACTTGCCAGAAAATATTCTGACTTTTAATTGTTATGAAAACCTAGAAACCTAGAATCAATTTAAAATTGGATTAAATATGTCCAATAACTATTATTTGTATGAATTTTAATTTCTTTGAAACTCGTGTTAAAACAAATGAAAACAAATATAATTATTTTGGTTTTACTTGTTTATTGTCGAACGATTTTGGTTATTTATTAAGCAAAACACAATTTAAACTATTTCTAGAAATTGAGACTCAATATTTTAATTATTACAAGAAAGAAAGTGTAATCAAATTATTTTCTTCAATCAAACTATTTATATACGAAATGGTTCACATAGTTTAATTTTGCTAACAAAATTATCTTTATTATGGATTTAAATTGAGGAAATATGCTAATAAAATGAATATTTGTAGTGAATGGTTACATTATATTTTTGTAAAATTAGTGAATTTTCGTTATCTGTATGCCCACAGAACACGCACAGCTTGACGCGTAATCAGGACCCGGAGTCGGGCATCATGAATGGGGTCCTGAAATTCGGCTGGATCAAAGGTGTGCTCGTCCGCTGCCTGCTGAACATCTGGGGCGTGATGCTCTTCCTGCGCCTCAGCTGGGTGGTGGGTCAGGCGGGCATCATCGAGGGATTCGTATTAATACTGACAACGACTGCTGTCACGACCATCACGGCCTTGTCGATGTCGGCGATAAGCACTAATGGTGTCATCAAAGGAGGTAAGGCCGCACCCCATCTCCATGGCGGTCTCTTTTAAATGGCTCTAAGTGGTTTTAACGGCACACTCGCCTAGGTGGCACCTACTACATGATATCCCGGTCCCTGGGGCCCGAGTTCGGTGGCTCCATCGGTCTGATTTTCTCGCTGGCTAATGCGGTTGCGTGTGCCATGTATGTGGTCGGCTTCTGCGAATCCATGCTGGCCATGATGACGACCTTTGAATGGAAAATCGTCGACGGCGGTGTTCAGGACGTACGCATCATAGGTTGTATCACCATCCTGCTGCTTCTGATCATTGTGGTGGTCGGAATGGAATGGGAGGCCAAGGTGCGTATGCGTAATGTGCAACCTCGAAAGTTATGCAGTTAATACGTTCATACGTTCGGTTAACCAGGCTCAAATCGGACTACTCATCATCCTGTTGGTGGCCATCGCCGACTTTGTCATTGGTAGCTTCATCGGACCTAAAAGCGATTTGGAACTGGCTAAGGGATTTTTGGGCTACAATGGTAAGCTTTAAAAATTAGAAAACCGTCATCTGTTTAATTTGTTTTTTTTTTTCACAGCAACTGTGTTTAAAAATAATCTTTTTGCCGACTATCGTCCGGAGAAGGGAGGCATTCAGCACGATTTTTTCTCAGTGTTTGCCATTTTCTTCCCTGCGGCTACAGGCATTTTGGCTGGTGCAAATATCTCCGGAGATCTGAAGGTAAACTTTGATTTAAGTTGTTCAAGAAAACATTGCATAAAATATATTATAAGATAATTATTGTTAAAAACAGACTTTTATTTGAGTTCAGTTTACTTTCCTTAATCTATCCATTTTTTTCTAATTATTGAGTTTTAATGATTTTTTTAGGATCCCCAAAAATCCATTCCCAAGGGAACGATTTTGGCCATTGTCATCACCACCGGAACTTATTTAATCATGGTCCTGCAGTGCGGAGCTACAGTAGCTCGCGATGCTACGGGCAATTTGACAGATGTGGTGAATGGCTCTTTCGCCTTCCTCGACTGCCAGCCTGGTAAGGTTTTTTAATTACTTGCAAAGCTTATTAAATTTAATAAATAATTGAAATTTAACCACCTCCTTTAGGCGAGTGCGGCTTTGGTCTGCAGAACTCATTTCAGGTGATTGAGTTGGTTTCTGGCTTCGGTCCTCTGATTTACGCAGGCTGCTATGCTGCCACACTGTCATCTGCATTGGCCAGTTTGGTTTCCGCACCAAAGGTTTTCCAGGTAGGAGAGTAATGAGAATACAATTATATGCCACTTATGAATTAAATTAATTATTTTATCAGGCCCTGTGCAAGGATGAACTGTATCCGAAGATTGTTTGGTTTGCCAAGGGCTATGGAAAGAACAATGAACCCGTTCGTGGCTATGTACTAACTTTCATCATTGCCTCTGCGTAAGTTGATACTTAGCACTATTTTTATTGAATATTTTTTAAGGTTCATAAAATGTTATAAATAATATTTTGGTTAAAAATAGTTTATAAAGTGCCATGAATATTTTTTCCCACCCATTTCAGCTTCATTTTGATCGGAGAACTGAACCTGATTGCCCCGCTCATATCGAACTTTTTCCTGGCCGCCTACATGTTGATCAACTTCAGTACCTTCCATGCCAGTCTGGCCAAGCCAGTGGGCTGGCGACCAACCTTTAAGGTGGGCAATCAAATGGAAGGCCCTCAAAAACAAAGTGATTTTTAATATTTCGTTATTTTGTAGTATTTCAACATGTGGCTGAGCCTGCTGGGCGCCATCCTCTGTGTGGCCGTCATGTTCCTCATCTCCTGGGCCACTGCACTCATCACCTTTGTCGCCGTGCTGGCTCTGTACTTAATCGTGGCCTATCGGAAACCGGATGTCAACTGGGGCTCCACCACACAGGCTCAGACGTACAAAAATGCCCTGATGTCGGTGCAGCAGCTGAACAACGTGGAGGAGCACGTGAAGAACTATAGGCCGCAGATCCTGGTACTTTCCGGCCTTCCCAACACCCGACCAGTCCTCGTCGACCTGGCTTATATGCTAACGAAGAACTTATCGCTGCTCGTTTGTGGCCATGTGCTGCGGGGTTCCAGTTCCCAGAAATACCGGACCAATCTGCAGGAGAGAGCGTCCAACTGGTTCCGCAAGCATCGCGTTAAGGGTTTCTATGCCTTGGTGGATGGCGAGGACTTCGAATCGGGCACGAGGGCCTTAATGCAGGCCACGGGCATTGGAAAACTGAAGCCAAACATTATCCTGATGGGCTACAAGACTGACTGGCAGACGTGCGATCGCAAGGAGTTGGTGCAGTACTTCAACGTGATGCACAAGGCACTGGACATGTACCTCTCGGTGGCCATTCTACGGGCACCGCAGGGTCTGGATTGCTCGCTTTTACTGGGCTCCGAAGATGGTTGGAAACCCTCCTCCGAGGTGCCACGCACCCTGCAGCCAAACGAGAGTTCCGGCGACTTGCAGGCGGTGGACAGTAATGCTCGGAATGCTTTGGGAGGCAGCATTGACTCGCTCAGCAGAAATGTGTCGCAAGGTAAGGAACAGGAATCCGGAATGAATTTAAAAACCATTATAATAATACTAAATTACAAATCTGCTTATATTCCGCATGACTCTCTCTTTATACCCCCAATCTCGCACCTGTTTAACCAACCACCCACTCAATTGCACCTTCTGCACCACAATTGCAATCACGTAGAGGACCGAAACCGCAACCAGTTGGTCCACAGCGAGCAGAACAGCCTGAAGATAGTCAAAAGTGAGTAGCATGCTCGGTGAAATGGTAAAGGTCAAAACTATAGGGTGGACCGGGTGTAACTTATCTAGCTCAAACATAAAAAGCTATAGTTATTGAGGCTTACAGTTAAAAAAAAGTATTTTCTTTTCAATTTTCCTTATAAGCAATTTTAGAGATATATGTTTGGAGCTTATAACACATTTAAAGAAGCTTATCCAGCCTAAGGTTTCATTTTCTTACCTAAAAGAATAAACATTTTCTCAATTTAATTTAAAATAATCCTGTAAGCTGTAAAAACGGCAATTGTTCAGTATATAAAACATGTAAATAGCTTGTGTCTATAGTTTACTATAGTTTATTTCCAATGCTTTATATTATGAGCCCAAAAATGAGTTTCTAAGGAGCTTAACCACACAACGGTCCACCCTACCCTCTGGCCAAATTTCCAATTTTCCGTAATAATATCGGTGTATCTTCGTGTCTTCTGGGAAATTGAACCGCAGTGCGCTTCAAGCAGAGCCTGCGGAGAATTCGCTCCTGGCCAGGTGCAGGTGAAGTTGTGTTTTTGCTAAGATTGCGTGTCTTAAGATACTTGAATGGAATGTGAAGTTGTTGTAGGCTGAGTAGGTAAATATGAATGGAGTACAAGCAGATGAAACTCACACCGTCACCAATACTTGCTACCACGCATGTAAGCTGCTGCATGTTGGCTTTATTCGCAATCAGGCCATAAAGTTTACAGAAAATTAACGACATTTAACAGCTAAACTAACCTCAATCTATGGCCGAAAAGTTGGAGGTCCTGGTTGTCATTTGGGGCTTTCTGGACCTGCGAACCCGTCGGCGGTTCGACATCTGTGCGCCTGCAAAACCTTTTCCGGCAATATGCGGCCCCAAAATTAATGCAATGCTCGTAAATTTGAATTTTAAATTGTATCCGAACAATGTCCGGCAAGGAAGCTGCTGTCGTTGGGGAATCGGGATTCAGACTACCCCACATGGTCACAGCACGTGGCCCAAGGGCTGGGTTGTATGTTTTGAATATATATGGTCTAAAAATGGAAAAATCTGTTAGGTTGCTGCATTGTTTGTTGTCTGTGCATGTCCTGAATGAAATTGCCTTGTTGTAGAACAGTTTTTTTGTTCAGTTTGTACGTTACTTTTATTTAAAGTCAACTTATGCTTCCCGTTTAGCCTCCAGTACGAGTGACCTGTCATTTATTGCGGGCAATCAGGCGAAGGATGTGTCCGGCATGCCCGATCCCTTGGATGCAAAGACAGCCAATCTTGTGGTAATTGGGAAACCATTTAATTATCTATGAATTTGATTATCTATTTTGCATCCTTTAGAACAATTCGCTGCGCAAATCGAAGCTGAAGCACGATGACCCCGCATCTCTGTACAAGGGTCCTGGGGGCACCGAGCTGCCCAAAGAGGTCCTGTCGGACCTCACTCTGTTCACCAGGAAGCGCAGCCATGCCGTTATCGATGTCTGGTGGCTCTACGACGACGGTGGACTCACCCTCCTGCTGCCCTACATCATCAGTACCCGGCGCACCTGGCAGACGTGCAAATTGAGGTGAGCATATCGCGAATTCACGCGAAATTGTTATTTGTTTTACCGCTTGGCTTCTGGCTAACGAGGAATTTTGTGCGAGTAATTTTCGGCAAGGGAATTTTCAGCCATGTGCTCGTCCGTCGAGAGCAGATTGGCTGATTGCGCCAATCTCAAGGTCACAAAGTTGGGCCTTGCTTAAGGGATTTTATTTATTTTTGTTTTTTTTTTAATATCCCTCACTACAATTTTAAGATACCTTTTTGTTGCCGAAGTTTTTATATCAGAGCTTTTTTTCCAGACTTTGAGTTATTAGCCTTGTAATGTTTCCTTCAAAGAGAAAAATCCGAAATCACATTAAAATGTTGTTCGTGCTTAATATTTAAAAAATAAAATGTTTTTGATTTCTTGAAAAATGTATCACAAAAATAACTAAAAACACACAAAAAAGGTGAAGTAAAATCAACACTGCGTATACGTAATAAACTCGGAGTCTCGCCAGCAATTAGCCGTTTTTGCTGCACTTTAGAAAACTACATGTTTCAGTCGGTTTAGATAATTGAATGTATTAAACCACAGTTCGTGGAATCATCGTCGTTGTACCAGCTTTGTTTAATAGTTTGATATTTTTATATGAAAATCCACGAACCAGCCAATAACTTTTGTGTAACACAGAAAAACTAAAAATTTATTAACATTTTCCACCCGCAGGGTTTATGCTCTGGCTAACAAAAAGGCGGAGTTGGAGTTCGAGCAGCGCTCCATGGCCAGTTTGCTATCCAAGTTCCGGATTGACTACTCAGACCTGACGCTGATTCCGGACATAACAAAAAAGCCATTGGAGACATCTACGCAATTCTTTAACGAGCTGATTAAGGACTTTGTGGTGACCGAAAAAGAGGGCGAGAATGGAAACAGCAGCAGAGCGACCTTGAATGAGGATGAGGGTGAGTAAAATTTGTAATCCAATAAAATAATATTTTAATTGAATTATTTATTGAAGTATAATTATTATATTGCCTGCATTAAATATTAGACTATTTTAATGTTTTCTTGTGTGTCACGAAAATATCTAATGAAGGTATTAGCACAAAATTCAACCTTGGTATCACAGAGTATTTAATTCAATTTTGACTAAACGTTTTAATATAGACTTAATTATAGAAAATTTAATCCAAAACTATACAGATTCTGTGACAACGATGGTTTTGTTAATATTATTTTTTATTTACTATTAGATTTAGCTATTTCCTTATATCTAGTTCGAAAGTCACTGCAGATGTTGGTTGAGTTTTCATAAAACCTTTCTAATCTTTTGGGGCTTAGTTATATGATATCTGTACTGCTTAATAAGTTTAATTTTGCGTCGAAACCTAATATATTTAAGATTAATCCATACAAAAAGAAAACCTTGTAATGTATTTAACCCCTGATAATGTTTTTCAGCCCTCATAACCGACGACGATCTGCTGGCGGTGCAGGACAAGACGAATCGATACCTTCGGCTGCGGGAGTACCTGCGGGAGCAGTCGACCAAGTCGGATCTGGTGGTAATGACGCTGCCAATGCCCCGGAAGAACATCGTATCTGCGCCGCTCTATATGGCCTGGCTGGAGAGTCTCAGTCGGGACATGCCGCCATTCCTGTTCGTGCGCGGCAACCAGACGAGCGTGCTGACCTTCTACTCGTAGGATCGGCAGTCCGGATGGGATCTATTGTATTCTACTTACACCTACCGACACACACACTCACCGTTATTGTTTAGGCGAACGAGTATTTTATCTCTTAGAAGTACCACCCATGTACATAAATTTAGGGACACCCCACGAAACGCACAGAGGCACTGGCACCGACGTGGAGATCGGGAATTATCTGATGGCCCACTGCAGCTCTATCATATGGTTACCCAATCCATCGCCGCGTCGTCAATATAAACACTTGTCCTAGCTATCGAGTTTAAATCGTATTTAAATACAGTGCAAATAATTTTTAAATTGTTGTTTTTCTTTGGGTTTATATATTATTTTGGGAGGTTCCTGAAAAGAGTACGGCTTTTATGGGGGAAATATTTAGAATTTGCTCAGCTTTCCTTAACTTTTCAAGTGATTGTAAATCAGGGAAGATTTACAATGGGTAGATTTATCTGTGGTATACCTGATATTCGGCCAAAGAACTTAAAAATTTATTCCACACCAATTTAAGAGCACCACACTTTAGTAAAGTACCACATAGGATTTAGACAGCTTCAAAATCCCTTGTTATATCGTAATCCATCAAATTATCGTCAAATTCTGGCCTGTCAATTTAGGTGACTGTCTACTTAATTTAAAACTGAGTAGGGTTCGCCTTCCAACTTGAAACTAGTTGCAACATGTTCGAGTTGGATGGTGTTGGAACACAGAAACAGTGTGTGGGATTAAAGGTTAGTATACGTTTGGCTTGAGAATTAAATTAAACAGAATAAAATGTAAAATGTAATTTTCCCCTTGCCGTTTTTTATATATTTTGTCATTACGTCGTATGCAGATATTTTTAACAAGTTTTTTTTCCCAATTAAGACTTTGGTAGCTAAGCAACTACTGGACGTTGTGTGTTTTTCGTTGACACATAAAATGTATCAATTAGTTTTGCAAAAATTTTCAAAGCTAAAAATAAAATGTTGTTTGTCCACCTTGTAGCTTATCTTTTAAGGCGACTCTGCCACAAATATCTTTTCATTTATATGGACCCATGAATAGTTGAGCATGACTGGTTTTTATTAACATTAGGAGTTGAATTGGTTTTCTAATAGCCAAAACTAAATTATACCATAAATAGAATATTGAAGGATAAATACTTTAAAAGCTTTAACTGTTATATTAAGGACTATACAATAATCCACTTAAGTAAGAATTGATTGAAGGTATTTAGTATATCGGCAGTTATAGTTGCACACGAATGAAACATGCTTTCATAAATACATTTTGATGACTTGCTATACCCTTGCCGAGGGTATTATAATTTGGTGAAAAGTTTATAACGCTGTAAAGGAGATATTGCGACCCTATAAAGTTTATATAACTGTGAATCCATTTCTTGAGTTGAGTTTATTAAGCTTCAGATTTCGTTTTTTCTTTGTACACAAGCTATTTATTTGTATTTCTGCAATAACATGCCATTTTACCTACAGTTTGGTTTGTGGCTTAGCTTTTAAACTATAAAGAGTATTTCTATTCAAGGCAAATATGACGAGCATATCTATTATTAATGATTGTCCTTCCAGTAGGCACTTGAGACTTATTTCACTTCCTTTCGCCTTGGTACGTGTTCTATCCTTTAAGCTCTTTTATTTTTGGGGTTTTGTTTAGCCAAGTTTTATTGTCGCTCGGTGACTCTACACAATTCGTATTTACCCTGCATTTATTTCTGGTAAAATATTAGGGCTTAACTTTATGTCTTCTTCGGTTGAGATGAGATGGGTAAGACATTTAATCGTTTCAAAATGCAAGTTGCACGGTGGCTTAGTAAATTGTTATAAATTGATATAAAACGTCGCAATTGCGGCATTAATGTTAATGCCCTTGCGTGGGTTTAATACTGTGGAAATCGAAGAGGGCAGGAGGTCCTGCAACGATTACTTCTTCCCCTTTCGACGTTTACCTGGGGGAACTTTTATGGCAGCTCGCGGTTTCCCTCGAATCGACACTGTGTCTCAACTTAAATCGCATTCAGCGGCAGTCAATCGGTATTTCAATACACGGCCATAAAGAACTTCACTATAGTCGAGGATTTTTAACGATTCGATTCGATTCGATTCCACAATCCACAAGCGAAGGTCACCGCCCGGGAGACATCGGACTTGTTGATTTCATGCTGTGTTTTCCTTGTGCTCCAAGCGTGAAAACATAAATAAATATTTAACGAGTAAGCCATTGTCATTCGCACGACACCACAAAGGAGCCCAAATCGAACCACCGAAGTGGCGTCCATCGAGTCTCAAGCGGCCAACAAACTCTTCGGCACACACGTGGCCATTTTCGAGAACTTTGCACTTTGTCTTTAAAAGTAAATAACATCTGAGCCTTCGGCAGGATGGGTACTTTTACATATGTGTCTTTTTCTCTTGCTCGTGGCCAACTAGTGACTTGAATAATAACTTCGAGCCATTTATCTTTTTCTTCAGCCCGAACGAAATATTTGGTTTGGAGAATACACAAAACCTAGACAAACATAAGTACCACTTTTTATAAATCACTTTTTTACTTGAGTTTGCTACTTTTTATATTTCACAAATAGAGAAAACAAACAGATCCTTTCTCGTTTGTTGACTGACACTATTCTTTTATTTTGCATATATTTCTTTCTCACATTCAGTTGAATTATCTAGCTATTTCCGGCTGTCTCGCCATGAATTTTTCAATAGGAAAGATTTATTTGAGTTTAGTGTGCAGGTAAACGTTACTAATAAAAATGTTTATAAGTCAGTTTTCTACTTCTTTGAACTATCTTTCAAAGAGATAAACTTTTCTTTGTGTGAGAAAAATATTTATAAATCTCATTCCTCTTCTTGTTGCAAAGGATTTGTACGACACCCACTATTCAGGCTCAGAAGCCAGAGGATAACTTTGCTGTTGATTTCTGCAGGATGGTCTTCTTCACATAATTGTTAATGCTTTACAGGTCAGCTTACGCTTTGCCTGCAGGCAACTTAAAAACTACTTTTAAGCTGCATATTATATGCTCAGCTACTTAGCCTTAACTGAAAACATCCTTCAGGGCGTTTATAGTGTCAATTAAATTTACCAAAGAGGAACTCTACTCAGAGGAGTGCCTTGAAGCTTACTCAAAAGGAATATTTTTATGAAAAATATGCAATACAATACGTTTAGCAAAGCGTTGCAAACAGAGTAGACAAAATGCAAACTGCTTAAAACATTAAACAGGTATTAAAGGGAAGTGGGAAATAAGTAAACGATAAAAATTAAATATTTATTCATTACATTCTATCTAGAAACTATGTTCCTTACATTCTATCTAGAAACTATCTAAGCCAGCTTTACCTTTTATTTAAGAAAAAACAAAGAATTTTTCAAGGGCTATCTGGAATTTTAACAACAAACAAAATACCTTTTTTAACTAGCTTAAATTCTCTGCTTTGTAGCATCACCAGTTTTAATTAAAGGAGAACTTTTATGTGGGACTACATATTTCAATAAAGCAACCTTGCTAAGTGGCGCACTTTTTCTCGTCGTTTGCGTTGGTTAAATCAATTAGGCGTTTTGACAGAACAACAAATGAACTCGTGCGTCGCCCAGGGGTTTTGGGTCTCAGGTCTCAGGACCCAGCATGCAGGATACAGGACTCCACTCATATCCTTGGCAGCCGATTAAGCACTTTACGTGCTGCAGTTAACGCTGGTGGCTGACGTGACGGATGCTCCCTCACAATAATATACGTCCTCGTACATCAAAACTAAAGTTTAGTCGGTCGGAACGGGGGGCATGTGTCACGAGGAGTAAAACTTTGTTATTTGATTGCCCGGGCCTGTCAACACATTGCGGCCTCTTAATAAGTTGCCTCCTGGCCGCAGTCTGCCAATGGTCCTTTATAAGGTTACATCTGCAGGATGTCGAATGATGGAGATAGCTCACGCGAAAGGGAAACTAACAGGATGTGGGACACGCACGACCTCTTCTCCCCGAACTCTTTCGAATTCAATCCCAAGAAATTTATACAATTTTCTTTTGCGCGACTGTGTTGCTGATTGTGACAGCAAAAGGAGAGATTCTATGAAAACACACTTGTAGGTCCTTTCATTCCTGTTTAGAGGAGTTCGACTTCATTGAGAAAAATTACAGTAACAAATAAAATCAAATATGTTGATCAATATTTGAACAAATAATTGAATAAATTTACTTTTCAAAAATACTCTTAGACAAATTAAATATATTTTTGTGTTTGTTGAAATTTAATATCTTCTTTTAGAGTATTTTGTAATAGTAATGATTTTAAAGTCTTATTTGAAATGTGTTTTGCAACTATATGGCTCCATTTTTAGCATCAAGTTTTAGAATTAAAATTAATATTTACAACTCAATTTTTTTGTAAAATTATCTTTATATACAGAAGCAATTATAAAATGAATAAATAGCGGATGCAAAAGATAAAAGGTCGCCAGGGAAGGTAAGTTTCTATAACAACAAGGTACAATTATGTTCTGCAAGTGGTTAACAAGCAACCAAAAAACAAAAACATCTAGAAGGTGTCAAAATGGACCAACTTTTAACAACAATTACAAGCTACATTTCCAAAACGATTGAAGCCACTTACAACATAAAGTAAATGTACAAAATTGCCCAAAAAGAGAAATACATTTAGTAATATTTTTGAATTGGATATGCGTAGATTCTAAATGAATATAACTAGTTTTGTTTAAGGAGGAGATTTGGAGAAGCCGAGCTCCTCTTAACCCTTTTTCCGCTTAATTCTTACACTTTGTTCTCAGTGTTCGCGGATGTGTGTATTTCCGTGTGTGTTATGTGTTGCTGGGTAATGTAAAACAGAGTTGACGTCCCAGACTACAACGCGATGCTGCTGTCACTGTCTGTTTTATGAGATTCACGCTCGGAAAACAGCAGTGCTCCCGTCCCTTCGCACTTGCTTTAAAGATGCTCCATAAATCTTATCACATTTTCGTTGGCCCTCAAATTGAATGTGCGGTGCAGATGAACATTCTAAAGTGAGCCTGAGGGTGTGGCATTTGTTATTTGCTGCTCCTTCACTTTGTACTTTCGCAACAGAATGTCTTTCATTACTTCCAAATGAAAAAGTTCGCCCTTGTTGTACTCTCATATGCAGCTGATTCATTGATTATCGGCGTGAAATTACACGTTTGCTTATGAAATGGCCATGGCCATAACTTTCCCAAGACATATTGGATATATTGTATATTCCACCTCGGTTTCCTATAACAAAATTCGGGGCACTGAAGCGTCTTCCTGGGATTCCATTGTAA